CATTATCGGGCTCAGTCCTTTATGCAGACCCCGCCGTTCGACTCGGGCCCGAGCCATGCCGGTGTCTTCGTACCATTTTTTGCTCCACTCGCTGTGAGTATCTTCGAAAATTCAACCGTTAATTGAGGGCTGGAGTGGGGAGGAAAGACTCGGTAGCGCGCGGTGCGCATCTGCGTTCAATGTGCACTCGTCCCACAAGTTATTGCAGACCCCGCCCGTTCGACTCGGGCCCGAGCCATGTCGTTGTTTCTTACCATTCTTTTTTAGCCTTCTTACATGCAGATCCCCGGCAAAAATTGACATTCAACTGAGCCCTTAAATGGATAGAGAAGGTTCGGTAGCGCGCGGTGCGCATCTACTCTTCACAAATAAAATAAAAGGCGGTTCTCCTTACGCAGACCCCGCCCGTTCGACTCGAACCCGAGCCATTTCCCTAGACCTTACCCATTCGGCTCGGGTCCGAATCATACATCAGTCGGTTGAAAGTATTCTTTTGGCTCCCCTCTAAGAAAACTCGCACCTCATTAAGCCGAGGGTAGGAGGGAAAGGCTTGATAGTGCGCGGTGCGCACGTTATTAAAAATCTCATGAAGGACAGTGTCCGGGGCGAAAATTCAACATTCAACCAAGTACTGAAGAACGGGAGGAAGGTTCGGAAGTGCGCGGTGCACATCTGCATTCAATCAAATAGACAGAGCTGACTGGACGCTGCAGACCTCGTCCGTTCGACTCGGGCCTGAGCCATAGCGCCGGAACCATACGCCTTTTCTTTCTCTGCTAGTGCCGATGCGCTTCTCGTCCCTCTTTTTTTTTGGGCTGTTCGTGAGTTTCTCAAAATTCAACATTCAATTTTCAACTGAGGACGCAAGGAAGAGAGAATGCTCGGTAGTGCGCGGTGCGCATCTGCTTCTAATAACGTTTCTTGATAACTGCAGCAGAATCTGCCCGTTCGACTCGGGCCTGAGCCATGGTTCTAGAGCCAAACACTTTTTTAACCCACTGACAATGTAACATTGGCACCCAGTTTGCGCTCTAAAGAATGAGTCGTAGTTGTCACAATTCGCGGAAGGCTGAGCGCTCAAATTTGAGCCCACTCAGGGTTCTCGTAAAGGCTGAACGGAACTAGATGAGAAGGGCCTGATAACCCAAGTGCATTCCCCTCCACGCCAATATTCAATGAGCCTCATATTCTGCGCACAGGGACCCGATGGAAGTCAACTGAACAGGATCGGATTCCACATCCGACGCAAAAATTTGTTGAAGATTAATTTTCTCAGTCTCAGAAGTATGGAAGGCCGGGACGATATCATTTGTTTCAGAGTGTGATGCTCTCATAAAGAATAAAGCAGCCGCCGCCACGACGCTGATCCCACACCACGGCGCCGTCCCCGCGTCGCATAAAGCCACCGGCGCCGCGCTGGGTCGACGAAGACGCAGCGCGGGCGCGGGTGCAGAGTGGGAGGGAACCGGGTGCAGACGGCAGGATACAGGCGAGGAGGGATAGACGCCGCCACCGTGTGCGTATGCGGCGGCTGTAAAGCCAGGGAATGGGAAGGGAAGGAAGGGGTGGGAGGGGAGGCAAGAGAAGCGAGGCCCGCGGAGAAGGGGGGGGGAAAGACGCCACCGCGTGGAGGACGGGTGCACACGCAACGGACGATGACGACGGGGTGGGAGGAGAGGACGGGGAAGAAACCCAACGCACCTCGATGCTCGCGCCCTCCTCCCACCCCAGGCGCTTCGCCTCGCCCTCCGGCGGCGTGTACGCCGGGAGCAGCTCGAGGGCCATGTCGGGCAGCGCGTCGAGGGGGTACTTGAGCCCGCGCGTGAGGTTGTCGAAGACGAGCTGCCGGAAGGATTCGGTTTCCTGGCGGAGTGTCAGTATCATCTCGAGTAAAGTGGAAGAGAAGAGACAGACACACCTGCGGCGAGAACGGCACGCGGTGGATGAGGCGCATCTGCTTCAGGATCGTGCTCTTCCCCGAGTCGCCGGAGCCTAGCAGGAGCACCTATAATCCAATCGTTCGTCAGTACCACGTCCATTAGATTACACGAATGAAGAGAAACGAGATGGATCGTATAATAGATCGTATGATCAATCATAAGAGCAAGAAAGGAAGGAAAAATGAAGGAAAACAGGAGCCCAAAACGCGCACCTTGACCTGCAACGCGAGCTTGGCCTTTGCCTCCTTGAGGGACTTCTCCGCCTGCCGGTGCAGGACGCGGTCGCGCTCAGACACCTCCGCGCCCCCAGCCGACGACATGCATGCACCCATTCGACTGACGAGTGAGAGTGGCAATTAGCTTGTGGTCTGTCTTCTGCCGCGATTATTCCGCAAGGCTCGCTGTCCCTCCTTGGATGGTCTTGATAAGTTAACGTCTTCTCCACCCTAGCCTAGCACTGGGTGGTCGAGGATCCAGACAGCAGACAGCGAAAACGAAGAACGACGGACGGTGACGGTGGAGATAGCAGCAAAGGAAGGGCAAGGGCCAATGCTTTGTCAGCGCCGCACAACGGGCGCCGATCGCTTCTTAATCGGGAGAAGTTTCGCTGCCATCACTGGCGTCACCAGCCGCAGATTGCCGGCGCGTCGCCAACGTGCCACGACGGGCCTGGCAACGCCGCACAATTAAATTAACGGGCCGGTCTAGACTGCGCTTCCTTTCATTTTGGCGTTGGAGGGTTCAATGGTGACATTGACAGAGTTCTCCGGGTACGAGGGGTACTTGGCTCGTCAAGGCTACGCATTTTTTCTTTCATTATTTTTTTTAAAAAAAAACTCTAACAGGTACAGATCGGCCCGCGAGGTTCTAAATAGAACTTCCACGCGGCCGCAAGCTTCCATCCCATCCAATCCTATCATCCATCCATACTCTATCAACTCCAAATCAACTCTATCTCAATCTAAAACACACTCCACACGACTCCACGCCGACGAAACAGCGGATCAGTATGTAACATGTCCATCAGGAAACCCCAAATTACTATGAGCTGCTATATACTTATGTGTATAAAACACCTCATAGATGCCAGCAATTTGGGTTTTTCCGGATGCTCTTTGTATGAATGATAACCAAGATGATAACGGCGGCCGTCCTGGCATCACTCAAAGAGAGATTTAAAGGAGTGCCTCCTCTTTGCTCGTCATAAAAAAAAATCCAACACCTCACTGAGTGGCAAGGTAGGAATGTAAGGCTCGGTAGCACGCGGTGCGCATCTGCAATCCGTGTCCTTTGAATATTCCTCGCACGCCGCAGACCCCGCCCGTTCGATTCGGGCCCGAGCACTACCATTTCTCTTCTGATCGCTTTTTTTTTTTTTGGCTCCACCCGCCGTGAGTCCGCTCTTGGAGAAATTCAACACCTAGCAGAGTACCAAGTTAAGAGGGAAAGGCTCGGTAGCACGCGGTGCGCATCTGCAATCCGTGTCGTTTAAATATACCTCGCGCACGCCGCAGACCCCGCCCGTTCGACTCGGGCCCGAGCCATTCGCCGTTTCTTTAAACCATTTTCTTTTGCTCCACTCGCCGCGAGTATGGTCGGACATTCAACACCTCGCCGGGTACCGAGGTAGGAGGGAAAGGCTCGGTAGCGCGTGGTGCGCATCTGCGTTCGATCAGTTTCATTCGTGCGATTTATTGCAGACCCCGCCCGTTCGACTCGGGCCCGAGCCATTTGTCTTGCGAACCATCTTTTTTTTTTTGCCGCCCTCGTCAGGATCTTCAAAAGTCCAACACCTCACCCAACCACAAAGTGAGAAGGAGAGGCTCGGTAGCGCGCGGCGCGCATCTGCGTCCCATTACCTCGGGTTGAATTTGGACGCCATACGCTGCAGACCTTGCCCTTCCAACCGGTTTTCTTTACCCTCACACCTCAAAAATTCAACCGTTAATTGAGGGCTGGAGTAGGGGAGAAAGGTTCGGTCGCGCGCGGCGCGCATCTGCATCCCATAACCTGAATCACCATACGCGGCAGACCCCGCCCGTTCGACTCGGGCCTGAGCCATGCCGTGGTTTCTTCAAACCATTATTTTTATCGTTCTTACACGCAGGTCCCCGGCAAAATTGACATTCAATCAAGCCCTCAAATGGATAGAGAAGGCTCGGTAGCGCATGGTGCGCATCTACTTTCAATAGACACCAGTAAGGTAACTTGCAGCAGACCCGCCCGTTCGACTCGGGCCCGAGCCATCGATGCTGCTTCCTGCATTTTTTTTACCTTCACACCTCAGAAAATCAACCGTTAATTGAGGACCGAAGGAGGAGAGAAAGACTCGGTAGCGCGCGGTGCGCATCTGCTCTTCATAAATCATTTGTAAGGCGGTTCTCCTTACGCAGACCCCGCCCGTTCGACTCGGGCCCGAGCCATCTGTTCTGGGTTCTGTTCTTTTTTTTTTGCTCCACTCGCCGTGAGTATCTTCAAAAATTCAGCATTTAACCAAGGACCAATGGAGAGCAGAAAGGCTCGGTCGCACACGGTGCGCATCTGCTTTCAATCAGTTTCGTCTGCGCAATTTATTGCAGACCTCGCCTGTTCGACTCGGGCCCGAGCCATCGATGCTGCTTCCTGCATTTTTTTACCTTCACACCTCAGAAAATCAACCGTTAATTGAGGGCTGGAGTAGGGAACAAAGGCTTGGTAGCGCGTGGTGCACATCTGCGTTCAATGAAGAGTCGTCCACACAAATTATTTTAGACCCCGCCCGTTCGACTCGGGCCCGAGCCATCATCCTTCCTTTTCCTGGATTTTTTTTGGCTCTCATGGTGAGTTACAGCTTCGCCGAAAATTCAACACTTCATGAGGTACCGGAGTAAGAGGGAAAGGCTCGGTAGCGCGTGGTGCGCATCTGCGTTCGATCAGTTTCATTCGTGCGATTTATTGCAGACCCCGCCCGTTCGACTAGGGCCCGAGCCATTTGTCTTGCGAACCACCTTTTTTTTTTTGCCGCCCTCGTCAGGATCTTCAAAATTCGACATTCAACCGAGGTCCAAAGGAGGGGAGAACGGTTCGGTAGCGCGTGGTGCGCATCTGCACTTGGTTATCAATGTTATCGAGTTCAGTCCTTTATGCAGACCCCGCCCGTTCGACTCGGGCCCGAGCCATGAGGTTTGTCTTCGTACCATTTTTTGCTCCACTCGCCGTGAGTATGGTCGAAAATTCAACCGTTAATTGAGGGCTGGAGTAGGGAGGAAAGGCTTGGGAGCACGCGATGCGCATCTGCCCTCAATGGTCGTCCGTTGTTCCAAAATACTACAGCTGCAGACCCGCCCGTTTGACTCGGGCCCGAGCCATGCCTGAGCAACCACCAGACTTTTTTTACTTCAAATTGACAAGCCAACGGTCGCTCACGTACTTGTGGTCTTTCAACACCGACAATGCATGGAGCCTCCCGACAGTGGGGGGGGCACGCTCGAATTTCACAATATGTTTGCTCCACTCGCTGTGCTCATAGCACTTTGGGTTTTTCCTGATGCTCTTTGTATGAACAATAGCGAATGAACCGGCGGCCGTCCTGACCAATCGCTCAAAAAAAGATTTAAAGGAGGGAAAAATACATCGGCACCTCTGAATCCTCTTTGCCTGTCATAAAAAAAAACCAACACCTCATCGAGTACCAAGGTAGGAGGGAAAGGCTCGGTAGCGCGAGGTGCGTATTTGCTTCCAGTATTGCACAATCGTGTCAAAATACTGCTGCAGACCACGCCCGTTCGGCTCGGGCCCGAGCCATTTCCTCTCCCACCATTTTTTTGGCTCCACTCGCCGTGAGTATCCTCAAAAATCCGACACCTCACCGAGTACCAAGGTAGGAGGGAAAGGCTCGGTAGCGCGCGGTGTGCATCTGCCCTCCATCCACTTGTTCTACCAACGTTCAAGCTGTATCCCGTTCGACTCGGGCCCGAGCCATGTCCCCTTCCAATCCGTTTTTTTGCTCCCGGGCCACTCGCCGCGAGTATGGTCGGAAATTCAACACCTCACCGAGTACCAAAGTGAGAAGGAAAGGCTCGGCAGAGCGGCGTGCATCTGGGTTTGCAATCTAAAACGATAAATGGAGCGTATCAGAACGGGTGTCCGCCTGCGGTCTCAACTCGAGAGCTCAACCTCAGTCTTCAAAAATTCAATATTTAACCAAGGACCGACGGAAGAGCAACGGTGCGCATCTGCCCTCAATAACTGAACCGTCCCCCTGTTGCAGACCTCGCTGATGAGCAGTACGCGTAATCCGACTGATCCGACATCGCCTCGGCTGTCCGAGACAAACAAGCGCCCGTGTCTGTTCCAGACCACCGTCGCGTGGCGGGTATCCAAGCAGCCGACAGCGCGCTAGCGTTTGCCCTGGTCCTTTGCCCCTCAATTTGACCCAATTTTATATCGTCTCCGTCCGTTCCAACAGACACACTCGCCCAACCCTGCCAGTGCCCATTCAATCCGGACTTTCTTCTTGGCGGCTTTGATATATTATTTGTCCATAGCGTTATTATTTATCTACCTGCCTACCTACCTACCAGGAACCACGTCCCGGCGATACCTCGAAATAGTTTCATTTGCTTATTATTCTGCTTGTCTCCAAATTGACCCAATGTATTGTACTATATAATGTAGGTGGTTCTGCCCGCAAAAACGGAGAATAGTATCCCTGCTTTTGTCCCAGTTTCCGTATAAGGAGGGGACTCGAGAATGGTTCGTTAACGCATGGTGCGCACCTGCATCACATCTCTTGTATATTCCTGCAGACCTGCCCGTTCGACTCGGACCCGAGCCATGGAGGCGGACACCTTTTTAAAACCCCACCGACAATCCGATGTTTGCTCACCATGCTCTTCACCCGGGAAAGGATTACTAAAACTCCTCCCGAATAATTTTGAGCTCGATCTGAACCTGTCCTGACTGGCAAGTCTTCTGAAAGACTCAACAGCTCACCAAGAATAAAAGTAAGGAGGAAAGGCTCGGTAGCGCGTGGTGCGCGTCTGCATTCGATCAGTGATGAATCCTCTCATTCATGCAGACGCCGCCCGAGCCATTCATCTGCGTTCCACTTCCAGCGACTGCTTTTACTGCAGATATGCCCGTTCGACTTGGGATCGAGCCATATGCTGCTTCCATGGCCGTTTTGTTTTTTGGGCTCGTGAGTTTCCGTTTTCTCACGAGAAAATTCAACACCTACTGCAGGTACGAAATGTTCTGTCGCGTGCGGTGCGCATTTGCATCCTATAGCCAAGTTTCGAACTTTTTTTGCTCCACCCCTCAGTGTCCAGCGCCAAAATTCAACATTCAACCAAGTACTGAAGAACGGGAGGAAGGTTCGGAAGCGCACGGTGCGCATCTGCATTCAATCAAACAGACAGAGACTGGGCGCTGCAGACCCCGTCCGTTCGACTCAGGCCTGAATCATAACGCCGGAACCATACGCTTTTTCTTTCTCTGCTAGTGCCGATGCGCATCTTCCCGAGATTCCACATTATGGAGGGTGGAGGTAAGGCTCGTCGCGGGCGATACACCTCTGCTCTCCATTCACTTTTCCAAGCAGCGTTCAAGTGGTATCCCCGTTTGACTCGGGCCCGAGCCATGCTGTCCAGCACTTTTTTGCCCTCTCGTTGTGAGTTACATCTTCGTCTGAAATTAAGTATTTAATTGAGGACCAGAATAGGAGGGCAAGGTTCGGCGGCGCGTGGGTGCGCGTCTGTGCTCGATGATAGTTGGGGGAAGGAATTGCGGGTTTTCCCGTTCGATTCGGGCCCGATCCATAGATACCTCTTCTCGTCCCGCTTTTTTTGGCTGCTCGTGAGTTTCTCAAAATTCAACTTTCAACTACAACTGGGGACGCAAGGAAGAGAGAGTGCTCGGTAGTGCGCGGTGCGCATCTGCTTCTAATAACGTTTCTTGATAACTGCAGCAGAATCTGCCCGTTCGACTCGGGCCTGAGCCATGGTTCTAGAGCCAAACACTTTTTTAACCCACTAAGAAGGTAACACTGGCACCCATTTTGCGCTCTAAAGAATGAGTCGTAGTTGTCACAATTGGCGGGAGGCTGAGCGCTCAAATTTGAGCCCACTCAGGGTTCTCATAAGACTGGACGGAACTGGGTGAGAAGGGTCTGATAATCCAAGTGTGATCCCCTCCACGCCAATCTTGATTGAACCTCTTATTCTGCGCACAGGCCCCGACGGAAGTCGACTGAGATGTGGATCGGATTCCACATTCGCTCCACAGCGACGTAAAAATCTCTTGAAGATTAATTTTCTCAGTCTCAGACTCTCAGAACTATGGAAAACCAGGACGAGAACATCATTTGTTTCAAAGTGTTGTGCTTTCCCCACAGTTCATTATATGGCAATACTGGTGCTAGGTAGACCGAATGATACAGTGTGCCGTAACCCTCACGTAGGTGAAAGAACGTCTAAAACCGGTTGAGTTGGTTCTAAGCATAGTGCGATGGGCAATTTTCGAGAACGGAAAGAAAATAGAGCTCATCGCTGGCATTTGACTGAGTTGGCATACGTGACATGTACAATGTAGATATGGATGTCGAGACTAGCGTCACCAGCGCACGAAGCCTCGCGGCTAGAGGCGGGTCCATCGGTTCGTCGGGATTGTACTTGGTATTCCTATCATTGACTGCACCGTCGGCTTCGCCGAAACGAAGGAAAGGGAAGGAATGTGCGCGATGGCGAAAATGTGGACATAGGACACAGTACCGATAAGAAGGTGACTGACTAGACCGGACGACCACTCGGCTCAGTTGTTCGCATGCTCGAAAAGAACTGACAGCGGCTCAGGAGACTTCGCGAATTATGAGCGCCTGAGGCTAGAAATACACATCGAATGATGCATTGAACAGTCTGGATCTCCCATACATGACCGAGGCGCCATGAAAGAATTATTGATGCACGTCTAAAAGCGGATGAGTTGATTCTACAAATAGTGGTATGAGAAATTTGCTCAAGAGCACACGGAAGACGGAGCTTACGGCGGGAATGTTGGCTTGCTGCGCGTACGCTCGGTGTGCGGTTACAATGTGAATGCCGAGCCCGTCGTCCACCAGGGCTCGCAGCCTCGCTGCTAGGACTATATAGCAATGTAAGGTTGTATGAAATGAAGCGCTCGCTCGGCCCAAGTCACTAAGCTTTGTTTAATCCACCTCGCACACTTATAGTTCCGCCCTCCTCCACGCTTGGACGATCGGTTGGCACATCATCAGAGAGAAAATACACCCCGCGCGCACAGTGGCCTCCCCCTTTCACCTGTGTTCTCGAATCAATGCTGAATTTTCAGAGAGGAAAATTCAAACAGTCCAAAAAAAAAAACTGGAGGACACAATGGCTCAGGCCCGGGCACGGGCAGGATCTGCAGCGTGCATCAAGTGGAGTACAAGAGGGAAGGCAGATGCACGCCGCGCGCTGCCGAGCCTTCCCGTCTTGAGTTCTCGATTACCAATTTAAATGTTGAATTTTAGGAGAAACAATCGCGATGAGTGGTCTGGGGTGGAATAGAACAAGGCTTGAATTACTAACTCTGAATGAAATCTTTCTGACACTAAGTCCTCCGAAGGATAAGCATAAGCATCGGTCCCTCCCTCCAAAAAACTGTTGGCTGAGCATGGCCAGGTTCCCTGACGCACACCAAGAAAGGGCACACCAGCTCATCAAGGAGTACGGGCATAGGCCTTAGATTTCAGGTAGGGCTGCACGCCGTGCCCGTCGCGCCGGTTCTACGGGTCCCGTCGAACGGGTAGCCGTCCCGTTCCGTCGGGGGGTTCCGATTTTTTGTCGACGGGACGGTGACGGGACGGATATTCGATCCGACGGCCGTCGTTTCAACGGCCGTCGACGGGCGACGGGTTTTGCTGCAGACGCGTCTAGACGCGTAATTAAACGCATCTTTCCGTGTAGAATCACACTCGTCGGCAATCACGATTTTATGGACGTAAAAAGTGTACTACCGGCGTTTAGGCGACTCTGTCTCTTCCTCGATCCCGCCGCCTGCATCCCGCGTGTTACCTCTTGGACGGACTTGAGGATGCTAAGTCGAAGCTCGAGTCGTATTTCCGACGCCACTACGTTGTCGAAGCTTCGTCGGCGGCTGTTCAGCCCGCGAGCAGTACTCA